CTTCTCTTTGGATCAGTAGGGTTATTGCATGGCGTTGTCAAAATGTCGCATGTGACATAGAGTAGAGAAAGGGGTTCTGGCCTTTTGCAGCACCGTTTGTCTTTGTACATAAAACGATATCAGTGTCGATCACAGGAATGTCAGTTTAATATTGATTTTCTCATCTTGGCCTTTCTCGTATTTTTCCAGGCCCACGGAAGAAGAGAAGAAAGAAGAATTCCTGTTCTGTCTCTGCGGTGTCTGCTTGATACGGTCGGTCTCTGAGCATCCCATCGCTGAAAGGAGAACATAATCATTGGTCCAAGATTACTTGTTTTGGTCAATGGCGAAGCTCGGTTCACCTCGGGGAATGTTGCCAAAGCAAGAATTGCGGAGAGAATTACCGAAGCAGCGATAAAACAGCGCCACTCCCCGAATGCTTTCCAGTTCACTTTCCAGCGTGCTGAAATGCCATCTGACTCCAATCGCGCAGGGAGCATTTGTCAAGTCAGTACCAATCCTGAGTCTGCGCTAGGAAGGCGACTGATACCGAAAAGCACTGCAGGGAGCGGCATTTGAAATGTAAGTGGATTTCCAATAGTGTTTCTAAGAAGCAGCGTCTGTGAGATGCAAGAAAGGAAACATCGAGACGTGCAAGAATGGAGGAAGTGGTCGCGGTGCGCTCATATCTGTAGCAGGCGACAATCGGCGCGGCAGTTGTTCGAGATGCGCCAAAAACGGCATCCAGTGCATCCGCGTCTCTGATATCCGGTTTCGCCATGGAACTATTCGGCCGTGCGTTTCTCTTCTGTTACTCTCTCTCCTTCTGCTGACGAGATTCCCTAGCCCACAGAAATCTCGTGAGACTCCCGAGCGACATGCGCAGTTTGAGTTTTCCGACAATCAACAATGGGTCTCGACCAAAGGGGCTTTAACTTTGTCGACGAAACAAGAGATGTAATGACTATATACGACCTTGGTTCCTCACCTTCCACCTCGGTCAACCTGGCCTCATCGGCCGGTCAAGTGTATGCTGGGGGGTTGAAGAGGCCTTGACTGGTTCCACATTGGGCGACGCAGAAGGACAATCCTCAGATCACCACAGATCACATTTGACCCCAGGAGGTCAGTCTTGGCTTCCGAATGAGCCCAGAAATGAGGAAGAATGGGCAACCGAGTTGCCTCAATCGCCTGTTACTCTCGAACCAGAGGTGAGCGCTCAAGGAGAAACCACTCTTGTCAGGCGCGGGATGATACCCCATCAGTCTATCCTTACGCACGAGTCCCTTCAAAGAACAAGTCCCAGCTTCGTATCCTTCAATGCTGATCCGTATCCGCATAACGAACCACCTGCCGTGGGAACCTCACCTCTCAGCACGTTCTACTCTCGGACAACCCCAAGTTGGACCGACCTTACCGAGGGTGGTTCGCCTGCAGCTTCGGTCCACATGAGCTCCGATGCACTGCTCGCAAAAGTCTACTCGCCGAGTAGAGCATGGTCGCTAAACTCAAAGGGCGAAGCTGGTCTCGTTAGGCACTTCGTGGACAGGGTGTCACAAGATCTGGATATTACTGACCCGCTGCAACACTTCGCAAAGGTCGTTCCAAGGCGGGCGCAGAGCTATCCTGTTCTGCTGAATGCTATGCTGGCGGCTGCAGCCAGGCATCTGAGCAGGACGGGAGACTATCATCCCTACATTGCGGACCAGTGAGTGACCTCAAGCAGGCCTATGCCATTATCGAGCTGGGTAGAGCGCCAGGCTTCATTCAGGACTGTTCACTGATCCGTAGCAGATACCACCAGATATGCCTCCAGCACTTGATCCCCGTCTTAAACGACGAGTCCGCCGTTCTGAACGAGAACATCGTCGCGTCCACTGTCATTCTACGTTATCTTGAAGAGATAGGCCTCTCCGTATTCGGTTATCCGCATCCAAACGGTCCCAACCATCTCATCGGTGCCCGCATCTTCCTGAGTACGACATACTCTTCGGCAAGCAACAATCTCCGCTCCGCCGCCTTCTGGCTCGGTCTTAGGCAGGAAGTGGTCTTCGCTGTTGCGAATCAGCGTGCGACGACCCCTAATCTTGATCATTGCGACATCGACAGATCCCTGGGGCTGGCTCATGATGGCACGTGGGCGAATAGGTAGGCATCAATCTGCTTCTCTTCAGATGACGTCGTATGTCCTCTACCGCGCATCCTGCTGACCCCTGTCAGGATCGTCGTCCACTGCGTCGACGTGATACGGTATTGCTTCGGTTCCGATGAGAGTGGCCGGACCGTCTCCGACTACCGCCAGCTCGTCAAATACGGAGACGACTGGCTGCGTTCGCTTCCCCCTTCTTACACTCCCGTCTATTTCAAGGACGCCGGAGAAGGTCAGGTTTTTCCTGAGATCATGTATCTTTCCACCGCCACGGTCACCGGAATGCAACATTACCACCTGGCGCGTATCTTGCTGAAAGCTCATGACCCTGAGGTTCCCCGACTTGGCCCGTTGAGAGCTCAGGCGTTAAGGGTGATGGATTATGAGATCAAGAACCATGCCAGGATGCTTTGTGGGCTGGCTCTTAGTAACAGTGAGTGATATCCCTCCGTGCAGGCCTTTGATGCGGGAGCAAGAAGGTTGCACCTCTATCCAAGTATTTACTGAGCTCTTTCAGGTCAGTGCGCGCCGAACTTCGTAACGGCATCGATGGGCGTCATCCTTGCAGGCGACAAGTTCCACAGCCATGCTGAGCAAACCGCCTGCATTGAGATTTTGCGGACTTGTGAATCTCACGGATGGTCGACGACCACGGCGCAGATGCACTTGAAGCAGTGCTGGGGCTGGCCGCCTTGATGTTCGATGCTGGTGTTGGTAGGATAGAGAGGCTCTCCCGTCGATATGCCCTGATCGCGCAACAGTGCTGACTGCTGTAGTGGCCTTCGAATACCATGTCCTCGATACGCAGATCCATATCACGGGAACGGATGCTTCAACCGCCGGAATGATTGGAGAATCGGGGCTACCTGTACAGCTTCATGGGCATGAAGATCCAGCATGCAGTGCTGATCGGCAACCATCTTCCGGTTTTGATTGAAGAAGGCAACCGGTGCCAAGCTCGAGACGAACGTGCCGAGCCTATCTGCAGCCTCGTCATCTCCCGGATTTTCTGCTCGAACGTGAGCTCTATGGCGTGCGTACGCCTCGTGGCACTAGCTCGTTCGGGCAAACTGCAAGGGAGGGTCAACGCCAGACGTAGCAGCCAAACGACGGTTCGCCAGACGAGATTGCTGAATAAGAGAGATCCAAGAGACCCTGCTTCTTTGCATCTTTGACTGACTACACGAAATGCATGTTCTTGCTTTCACCCTGCGCTATTAATCAGAGCATCGCGGAAAGAGCAAGTTTTGGATGAGGTAAAGGCGAGAACCAATTGGCAGTCCGTTGTTTGGTTGACATGGAGCTCAATTTGTACATATACCTTGTCAAAGCCAAGATGCATTTGTTCGGTTTCATCTTCCATATCTCATGTTATCTATGTATCACGTATGAAGCATCCGCTACACAACCCTGAATCGTGGCAGAAACATTCAATCGCGCTACCTCTTAAGAACGAGAACTGAGAATGATGCCAGCGCTTCGTCCTCCATGCGTCGCTACAATCCGGCTTTGGACCATGCCCACAGGAGATGCATCGATGTAGTTGCAGCAACGGGCAATATTACCCTTTGTGACCGGGAAATGGCAAAAGTCGGCGAAGTGGGAAGCTCCTCCCGACAAGCCTCACCATCCGCTCTGCAGCCACGACAAATAAACATATTCCATTCCATCATCACCTTTGCACTCCTATCGGTTTATCGCCACAGTTCACTTAATGTATAGCCGCACACGCGCGCTCCGTGCTCCGTCCAGTCTGCACTACGTCAACCGCTCCGCTGCTTTTGGCATCAGGAGCCGCATGCAACAGCGAGACCAGAGTACGGACGGGTCTACCGGACCACTGTGCTCGGCTGGCAATGATGAAGCGCACATTGTGCAAGCCGTGCAGCAGTTGAGCGGGCGATGGACTCTGACAGAGGATAGGAAGGGCTTGCGAAGGGACTTCAAGTTTAAAACATTCAAGGTTACATGGGTGAGTCAACCTTTCTGTTGTATATAAACTACGGTCTCTTTGAAGTTTTCTTGTGGCTCCCGTGTATCAAACGATGCACATGGTTCTAGTACGTGTAAAGAATCGGTTAATTGCTGATGAAACGATGTACATACTTGTTTCCATCCGATCGAAGCCGGGATGGGCACAATGCAGCTATGCATAGATATACAAGCACCCCCAGAAGACCACATCGAACATGCTGCACCTAAAAGATATCCTTTTGTATCACTAGACCCAGGCCCCGACTCCTTTCCACCTTTCTCGACCAACCGGAGTTGCGCTTGACAAGCCCTCTCAATTTCCATAATAGCCATACCACGCCACCTGCTAATCTCCGCACAGGACTTTATGAACCGGATAGCAGACGAATGCAAAGCACAAAAGCACCACCCGGAGTGGAGCAACGTGTACAACCGGACGACAATCAAATGGACAACCCACAAGCCTGAAGGATTGTCGAGCAAGGACGTGCACATGGCGAAGTTCTGCGATGATGCAGCAAGGGAGATGGGGAGATCGGGGCGTGAGGTCACCAGACAGCGCAGACCATTACTTCCAGCTTTTGGCTCTCAGCATCTGATAGCGGGAGTACCGAGAGAGGGATGCAGGTGCTTGGACTTCTGCTGAAGAAACTAGAACAGAACTTCTGTAGGATGTCTAAGACTCCACCCCGGAGAACTCTGAGCTCAAAGTTAGGGACAGGCAAGGCCTGCTCGCAAGTGTTATTCGTATATGGTACGAACAAGCCACCAGCGAGCACGCCTCATTTTCTACTGCTACTACTACAGCCAGCAGTTCCGCACAAAGAGCAAAAAGACCTCCGCACGAAGAGGATCGTCTGCCATTTTTCCAGAGCAAAGAGAAGAGCAAAAGGGATGTTGACGAGAGTGGGATTCGAACCCACGCCCTTTCGGACTGCCGGTTTCAGAGTGGGAACTCCTTAAGACAGCGCCTTAGACCGCTCGGCCATCTCGCCTATTCAAATGCGCTGACTAATCAACTTGTGCTCTTCAGTTGCCTAGACAAAATATATAAATTTGATTTTACGCCTAGCACGATTCTGCACAGCCCACACTTCGCGGGGCCGCGACCGAACAGTCTGCTCGATCGTCCTCATAACAAACGGCGTCTTCTTCGCTACCCAGATTGCTGTCTTCCTCGTTCTTGGATCTCACGCTGACTTCGGTACGGTCCCAATCTCTTGATTGCGCTCATCGCTATCGCATGTGCCATCGGGTTCAATTGATTGCGCGTGCACATGGCAGACAAATGGCAGGCGGCGACGGGTCTCTATATCGTGGGGCTGATCGCGTAACAGTTGACATCGACATGTTAGACGGCTGCATTCCCGAGGCTGGCGAGGGAAGCTGTGCAGCTCATGATGTAAGTAGATGGGCGCACGCTGGGCTTGCTGATGGAAGGATCGTCTTGGGGGCGCGGACTTCACCCCACTGCATTCCCATTTCTGAGGAAGAACAACCAGTGGTGCAAGACCGGAGGAAGGCGTGTACAATTATCTGGACGGACTGCGCTTGTACAGGCGGTGAGGGATGGCGAGGATGGTACGGCAAAATTCTTTGGCGGCAAGCAGAATACCTCAATTTTGGTCATTGTCAATGTAGCTTCCTTCTGATCATAGACCTGTATTGAAAGGCGAACACATGATAACACTGCATCTGCTTTGCCAGTTCATCTCACGGACAACACTGTCCATGCTGTCATGCCTCCACACCTGGCGCACTGGTATTCTAACTAAAGAGAGCCGTTGCCTCAACCAAAGTGCGGAAAGTAAGCTGACCAGGTTGGGACTGCATAAACACCAGGAGGTGAGTATGGGAGCGAGATGAAAGCCTCGACGATCAGATAGGCTCTGGCCATGAAGCAAGCAAGTGCGAGTGAGGCGTTGAGGGAAACCAGAGTCAGCGCAAGGGCCCGTGGGACCAATTTTCCAAGCCTGTAATCATACCGGTCCAAAAATTGATGGAGGCAACCAATCAATACGATAAGTGGGCCGACACCAATGATGAGCAGCGAGGACAAGCGCCACAACAGTAGCTCAATGGGTTGTAGAAATGTCGCATTCCATGCCACGGCATGCAGACCACCGTAGATCGCTCCCGCGCAGGAAAAGACCGCCCAGAATGTCCAGGAATTTTGGTACGCATCTAGGAGGTCCACCAAGTAATCGAGCCTCCTCGAGTTGATTTGAAATGCTTGATTCCAGCCCAAGTTGGCCTTGCGTTTCGCTACTTCCAGGCTCCACCAAAGTTTCAAAGAAGTCAGCGAGGGAGTTTAGATGCCAGACGCCATTTCTCAATATGAGCTTGACTTAACACCCAGGCTTTCTCCATTGAGTATTGGTGGGAGTGACTGATCATCAAGTCCGTTCCCGGAATGATCTCGCCCTCCCCAAGAGAACAGTGTCGGGAGCGTCCAAGTCGCCGTACACACGAAAAGCGGGGAGGCAGGATAGACTGTATCCTTCATAGAGACCCCAAACCCTTCGGAAGCGATTCTCAGGCTTCCCATCCTGACTTGCCATCTTGTCGGTAGTGACCCTCTACAATGCCCTGGAAAGCAAGTGTTCTCCAGCCAGATCAAGAGGAACGGCAGCGGTGAAATATTTTGCGTTCTCTCCCTCAAGACAAGTCGTAGTCTCAACGTCATACGGCTTGTGCCACCATAAACCATAGATGATGAGGGCACAAATTGAGTGTCCGAAAGCGTTGAGTTCCAGTAACGTCACAGGCATATGCTGAGCCAGACGTGATATGCATTGGGCACAGAACCATGCTGCTTGCAGGCATACAAGGGTTTTTGTCAGCCCATTTGCCTTACTTTTGTCGCGTATCTGGTCTTCCGAAATGTCAGGTATGAGTTCGGGATGGTGCTCGCAGAGGGTTTTGAAACCCAACGACGTTAATGTAGGGTTTGCCAGATCTTTCAGCGAGGGCGATTTGTACGGCGGTTGCGGACAGTGGAGACCGCCCATGGCGACGTAATGCCCGTGCACCATAGTCCAGACATGTCTCACAGGGGATGGTGAGGCAACAGTGTCGGTCTCCACGGGATTGTCCTGGTGTATCTTCTCGGGGTGAACTGTCGAGTGCGAACTTGGGACAGCGTGCATGTGCGGCGGATCTGGAGTTTGATCCGTGTGTTCCTCGGATGTTACATTTTCAATAGATTCAATAGACCTTGACGACCCGAGCTCAGCCCCATGTCTTTTGTAAACCCCATGGATACCATGAGCTTGCGAAACCAAGGGGCATTTTGTGGCTGCTTTTCCTCAAACGTTTGTCGCCATATTTTGACGATCTTTGCCGCTTCACGGTGTTGTGTCCAGGCCGTAAAAGCTACTAGCTCCGGAGCCAGAACTGCAATCAACATCTATTTGACCTTGCGCAATGTCTTTGTCCGGGCTGTTTCGTCCGGCGCACCAATGCTCAGATGGACCGCTGACCAGACGCAAAGGAAAGTGGTGATGACACAAGCCTGTATGATGTCCCAGGTGCCTCTGGTAGTCGGACTCGCCTGCCATGTTGCCTCAGAAGGCCCAGTGCTATTGCCGAAAGGGAACATGGTAAGAGAAAGTGTAGCTAGAAAGAGGACAAGAGATGGACAAGACAACGTACGTACAAGCTTGTCCTACGAGGCGCATGGAGAGGGGTTTAACGCTGCCTTGTCTTGCCCTTGTATTGCAGCGTTGTGCCGCTCTGCGTGTAGAAGGAGACTTTTCGCTGAATTGTTCGCCCTTGGTAGTCAGCTGTGCGAGGCTGAGCACCACCGTGAACCGCGTGGCTGACGCCACCGACAGCCTTGCATGTTTGACCAGCATTTTGTATAACGGATTTCTCGGACTGTGCGTCAGGACCAAGCCACGATGCACTGCGCATGCAAAGTTGCCTTGAAGAATGAGAACTTGTTGAGGCTATGCAACGCGAGATTTGAAGTCGGGAAGAGTGCGTCATGTGACTCGAAATGGAATAGCAGACGATTGACTGAACAACAATCTCTCCACTCGAAGAGCTACAAATAGCATCATGAGTGCCACATGACGAGAATCCATGATAGACCACCTGTTTTATAGATCTGCAACACGACTCCAATTTGAGGGTGGATTCCACCCGATCCAGAAATATTCGTACTATCCTTTTATCCTTTGCAAAGACCGAAAACTCAGGCGTTTCAGTTCCTCTTCTTGTTCTAGTGAAGTTCATTAAGCGCATTGGCATAACCATTGACTCCATTAGTCTTCAGATCATCTTCCTGGTTACCGAAAATCGACTCCACCATCTCATTGCCACGATGGGCGAGAACAGACAAAAGGGTATCACTCAACTGGGAAGGCCGTCAGTATCTGCCGCGCAGGTTTAGAAGAGCGGGGAAAGGGGAGCACTTACGCCATGCGTATTCTCATTACATCCCTGCAACCAAACGCCCGCATCTTCATTAACCATACCCGGCTCGAAGTGGACGCGGTAGTTCCTGCCCACGGTCCACTTCTTGCCCTGCTCGTCGCCACCAGGCATCAAGTGCCTAACACTCTTGAGCATATCCTCGTGCATATCTCTCTTATAACCCGACGCAACGAGCACGAGGTCGACATCCAGCGTCTCCTCGGCCGGCGAGCGCGCTGCTCTGTACTTGCTGCTGTCGTTGCGGATGCGCATGCACAAACGACCGCTGCTGTCCTCGAGTTCCGTGATGGAGGTCACAGTCCGGTGGTTCAGAAGGCGCTGTGGCCAGTTCTCTTCACTGCCGTATCGGATGCGTTGGGTGTACAGTCCACTGTAGATCTCTTCCAGCAGCTCGAGACGCACGACACCGTAGTTGGTGCCCTTGTCGAGAGCAATGGCCTCGGCGCGGATGGTTGGCTCTTGCGAGTAGTAGTCGTCGACACGGTCGGGATCGAAGATCTCGTTGACGCTGATGGCTGGTCAGTATCCTTTTTGTGTAAATCAGAACCTGAACAACCTACAATGGCGAGTCATCGCTTGGTCGCAGTGCCGCACCTCTGATGAGCAAATAAGACTTCGAGTTCGGAAACTGCGAAGGCAGGTTGTGGAAGATTTCAGCAGCGCTCTGACCGGACCCGATCACTGCAATTCTGACCGGCTTCATTGGGTCCGAGAAGATGTGCGGAGCAGCAGTGATGAACTGAGAGGAATGGATGACCCGCGGGTGCTTCTGAGGGAAGCTCTTCGGGATGTTTGGTCTTCCACCCACAGCAATTACAACATGCTTGGCACGGCGAGAACTGGTCTCACCCGTGCTCCTGTTCCTCGACGTGACTGTGAAAGTCTCAACCGCATCGCCCTTCTGGTGCGAGTGAATGTCAACCACCTCCTCATTGTATGCCACCAGGTCCTCGAACCAGCCGGCGCACCACCGCATGTAATCTTCATACTCGATCCGCTTGGGCAGGAAGGTGCTCAGGTTGGCGAACTGGACCAGGCGATCGTTCTGGTGCAGGTAGTTCACAAAGGTGAACTCGCTGCGCGGGTTGCGCATGGTAGCAAGATCCTTGATGAAGGAGATCTGCATCTTGGCTCCGGGAATCTGCATTCCCGCATGCCAGGCAAATTTGGGCTGGCGCTCCAGGAACGCGATCTTGGGTTGATGGGTATTGAGGAAGGGACTTGGTCCTTTCTCGAGCGCGTCGTGCAGAGCTACTGCGATTGCCAGAGACGCTGGTCCAAATCCAACGCAGACCATATCGTGCAGCTCTTCCGGCCGAGTGGGCTGGAGGAAGGTCTTGTTGTGTAAAGTGGTGAAGCCACCATTCTCCATGCTTTTGTTGCCTTCGTGGACTGCCATGGCACCTCGACTCCAAGCGTTTTCCTTTGGCGAATCGGGCACCTGAGCGTGTGGGGACATTTTATGTGTTTGAGTAGATGGGCGTATATGGATCGCGTAAATGGAAGGATCTATGGGAACAGCGGTTCAATCCCTACAAATGCGCTTTGATCAGCT